AGAAAAAAATGGCTGACCTGCCTGGAAAGATGTTGTTCGGGATCTTATAAACGTCCGACCCGACTTAATGAGTACCTGGCTAAGCAGCGCTCTTTTGTCCTCGAGAATGATAACGCGTCTAGGTGCAATGTGTGCTTTTGTATAGGGGAGCAACTTGAGGAGCAGGGAAGCATGGCTATTGTGAATCAAAAAACCATGTTCAAGGGATTGGTGATGTTTGAGGATGTGGCTATAGAATTCTCTGAAGAAGAGTGGGAAGGGTTGGACCCTTCTCAGAGAAACTTATACAGAGATGTGATGTTGGAGAACTATAACACCTTCATATCACTGGGACTTGCTATTTCTAAGCCATCTGTAATTTTCCTATTGGAACAAGGGAAGGAACCTTGGATGGCTGGAAAAACAGGATCATATCCAGATTTGCTGTCTTGGTATGAAACTAAAGAGTTGACTCTAAAGAATGGTATTTTGGAAATGGGATCATTAAAATGGGAATTAATGGAAAAAAAAAAAAAAAAAAAAAAAAAACTTTGCTTTGAAACTTCTAATTTTGTACCAGACTTTGCTACAAAAGCAGGTATTATTCCAGCGTCCTATAATATATATAAGTGACACTTTTGCCAACTTCTAAAGTGTTTCCATTACTGGTTCAACTTTGTTTAAATTTTTAAGTGCACTGTGTGAAACTTATGATTATACAGTAATCTGTGTGAGGTGCTTATAAAGAAAGAACCTATTTGACTTAGCTTCTTTGGGGGTTATAGCTTTAATTTATATTTAATCATTGTTTCTGGAGGCTTGAATTTTGTATTTGTCCCTGGAATACTTGCTGTTGGATAGCAATGTAAATTTGAATTTCTTTCATTTTTAATATTATCCTAACCAAAGGTATATTTGACTTTCACTGATTTTCTTTCCTTTCCATTTATACTAGTATTCTGTGATTGCCTTTTTGCATTTTAAACTTGTAATGGTAAAATTTTCTGAGTAAATGCATGCTCAGAGATGCCACCTGCACATATCTTTGAACTTTAAACGTAAGTAAACTGAAACCAAATCTTCATTTTGCTGATCTGTCTAGAGACTACTCCAAGTCTGAATCTATCTCTTAAGCTTCTGTACCTATATTTAGACTCTCTGGCAAGTGGTATTCCTGTTGAAAGGATCAGATGGGACTTTTCATTTCACTCAGATACTTGATATCCATGTTCTCTCAGATAAAATTCTCTAATTTTGAAATTATAAAAATATATTGAGGACTGGGATAGAATTCAGCAGCACAGCACCTGTCTGGCAAGCATGAGGTCCTGAGTTTGATTCCCAGTATCAAAAATAAAAGAAAATGGGAGCTGGGAAGATGGCTCAATGGAATAAGCGCTTCCCTGGCAAGCGCAAGGGCCTGAGTTCAATCCTTGGTTCCACGAAAAAAAAATAAAATAAGAAAAAAATAAAAGAAAATATATTCAGAATTTAAAACACTAAAACTAGGCAAAGGCAACTTCACTAAATAATATGTACTATCAATCTTCTTCTGAAGTTTAGAATCCCTTAAAATATTCAAATAATGAATTTAGCTTTATTTAAAAGTATTTTTGTGCCAAGATACTTTATCAGGTTTCTAAAATAAAAGCTTCTTGAGACTGGACGTGGTGGTGCATGCCTGTAATCCCAGCATTTGGGAGGCTGAAAACAAGAGGATCACCAAGAGTCCGATTTGTGTGCTGAGACCCTGTAGACCTTCTACCGGAAAAGTAAAATAAAAGCTTCATAGAGCTATATGACATTCTTAACTATAGATTTCAAAATTAAATATAGAATTACAAGGAGCTGGGGAGGTAGCTCAGTGGTCTAAGTGCCTTCCTGGCAAGCACAAGGACCTGGGTTTAATCCCTGGTACCACATGCCATTCCAGCCCCAGAACCCGGCAGCACTGTGCCTGCCACCAAAACCAGGAATGCTGGCACACACCTGTAGTGCCAGTGCTGGGATGCTGAAAAGAGGATCACGATGAGTCCTAGCTGTGCAGAGAGACCTATACAAAGTAATAGAAGGTTATATTTATTTTAGTGAATGTTAATTTCATCTTTAGGAAACAGTAACGTCTGCAGATCAGAAAAGCAGTCTTTCAGCTAGTTTTGCTTTTTTGAAGACACTGGTAATTTTAATCTTTCTTCTAGATGCCAGAATAGAAGAATTTGTTTATGAGAAACTGGATAGAAAAGCACCGAGTCGGATAAACAACCCAGAACTTTTGGGACAGTATATGATTGATGCAGGGACTGAGTTTGGCCCAGGAACCGCTTATGGTAAGTACAAAGCAAAAGATTCTGATAAGAACTATTCTTACTTTAGATCGCTAATATACAGTAGAATCAGTTTTAATTTTAAGTTTATTGTGTTAAAATTTTAATGAACAGAAATGTAGATGGTCAATGAATTTGAACATATTAATACTTAAACATACTTTTTGAGAGTGCACATCATCTTTAGTTCTAAAAAGTTTAAAAAATTCTCTACCTGTGCTGCCATTGTTCTCACAACATCTTTATTATAACATTGCTTGTATTGTATTGCAGTTATTGTTTACATATGCTTATGGGGGGCTTGTGGGTTAGCTCAGTTGTTTAAAGCGCCTGCTTGGGCAAACTCAGTCAGGTGCAGGGGACTGCAATTCGATCCCCAGTTCCACAAGCTGCACCAGACCTGCCCTTAAGGCAGCCAGAGCTAGCAAAAACCCAAAATTTCTTCTACATATGCCTGATTTTTGTAAAGCTTTCCTGCAGGCTATTGTCTATTAAAGGTACTTCATACACAGTCAATGTTTGAACAAATCACTAGTGTTTCATTAAAATTTTCAAAAATGTCAGTGCCCTCAAAAATTTTAGCAGTTCTGTTTATTTAAATTGCATTTTATTTGTTTTCCTTTTACATAGTTCATATTTTCTATGACTTATAGATAAGCCAGATTTGCTTACTGTTCTTTTTAAACGTATAACCCTGAATTCAAAGTTATACATCTTTATTATTGAGATTCATTTTCTTGTGATACTATTTCACATTTCTTTAGCTGCCTTCCCTTGTTTATGGCCAATTTTATTAAGACTACTTCAAGAAATTGGTTCTTATTTCACTACTAAGTAGTAGGTAAGATAAATGAGTTTCCACAGGTACTACTTATTTATGAAATAGCTCCGCTGTGATATGAATTTAAAGTTTTAGTAGCTTTTTTTTTTTTTAAAAAAAAACATATATGGTTGTTTCAGAGTCTCACTATACAGCTCCTACTCATGGTGATCCTCCTGCTTGCAGCCTCCCCAGCACTGGGATTAGGCATGCACCACAATACCCGGACTCTGGCCAGACTCTGGCCAGCTTAGACCCCCCTGGGGCTGGTGTGGCATGTGGTACCAGGGATCGAACTGCGATCCCTGCGCTTGCCTAAGCAGGCACTTTAGTCCACTGAACTATCTGGCCAGCCCTAACAGAAGCTAGTCTTGAGAGTCCCTTTATTTTTGTTCTGCTTTTGCCTATGTGCTTGTTCCATTTAAATATTAGATATACATGTTGTTAAATATGGGGTTTTCTTTTTTTTTTTTCTTTTGGCGGAACCAGGGATTGAACTCAGGCCCTTGAGCTTGCCAGGGAAGCACTTATTCCACTGAGCCATCTCCCTAACCCCAGGGTTTTCTTAAAACAGAAACTATAGATACAATACGTGAGATAAGTACGTATAGAAACAGAAGAAAAACTGTTATTTGATCCACTTGTTAAAACAATGTAAACTTTGTATTTTTCTAAATATAGCTACCGTGAATTGTGACCATAAATTATTTTGGTGTATCTGCCTTCTTTAGTCTCATTGGTAAATTTGCCATTCAACTATGATGTAGTTAGAAGTCATCTTAGGGTTTTTTGTTTTTTTGTTTTTTGTTTTTTTTCACTTAGATACTCTTTTATCTTTTTTTTTTAATTTACTTATTTATGTGTGTGTGTGTGTGTGTGTGTGTGTGTGTGGCCAGCTCAGCCCACCAGGGGGCGGGCTGACTGGCATGTGGTGCTGGGGGATTGAACCGCGTCCCTGTGCTTTGCTAAGCTTGTTCTAAGTAGGTGCTTTAGACCACTGAGCCATCTCACCAGCCTGATACTCTTTTATCTTGAATTTGCTTTTAAAATAAATAAATCTACCTTAATTATAATTAATTCTGTTTAATTTTATGAGATAAACAAGTAACTTTTAAACAGATCCTACTGGTAATTTATCTTCATAAGATTGTAATTTTCTGACATTACCACACACTGTTTGTTTTTTTTTTTTTAAAGAAAAACAAACTTTTCTTTGCAGGTAATGCCCTTATTAAATGTGGAGAAACACAAAAACGAATTGGAACAGCTGACAGAGAGCTCATTCAAACATCAGCCTTAAATTTTCTTACTCCTTTAAGAAACTTCATAGAAGGAGATTACAAAACAATTGCTGTGAGTTGGAAAATGTTATTTTTTGTAGTAAAATAATTTAGATTTATGTTTACAGTTTGTAGTGAATAATTGTACTTCATTAAAGTATTTGGTTGTTGCAGGGTCTCACTATGCAGCTCGGACTCATAGTGATCCTTTTGCTTTCAGCTTCCTCAGCACTGGGATTGCAGGCATGTGCCACTGTGCCCAGACTCTGGCCGGCTCAGCCCACCCTGCTAGGGTTGGGCTAGCATGGCAAATGGTGCCGGGGATCAAACCACAGTCTCTGCACTTGCCTTAACAGGTGCTTTAGTCCACTGAGGTACCTCACCAGCCCCTAATTTTACTTCTTTAATGATTATAAGTATAGCAGATTAAAAAACTGAACTGTTTCTGAGTAGGTGCAGTTTCATCAACACATAAAACTAGAACCAAAAAAAGAATCTTGATAACATAACTATCCAATTTTTAAGGAGCTGGGGAGATAGCTCAGCAGCATAAGCACCTGCTTGGCAAGCACAAGGTCTTGAGTTCAATCCCTAGTGCCAGGGGAAAAAAAAAGAGGACAACCCGGGGCTGGCGGGATCCTGACTAGACCCAGAGCGCAGGCCTGGGGAGTGAATGAGATGACCCAGGGCCCTCCAGATCCTGAACAGACCCAGAGTGCAGGCCTGGCGAGTGAGTGAGACAACCTGCAGCCCTCCGGATCCTGAACAGACCCAGAGCAAAGGCCTGGCGAGTGAGTGAGACTACCCGGGCCCACGGGATCCTGAATAGACCCAGAATGCAGGCCCAGCGAGTAAGTGAGGCTACCCGGGCCC